GGAATGTCTGATCAACTGTGACATCTGGGAAATGTCAGTATGCAGATTACAAGGAGAAAGGCTGTTCATCACAGAAGATGAAGGAAGGACACTACCTGTATGCACAGCATCTACCAGAAGCCAAACAAATGTTAAAGCAGTCATAATTGATGTCTGATATCAAAGAACAGACTCACAGCTGATAGTAACAGTCTGAAGCTTAAGCCTACATTGTAGATAAGAGTTAGCATTATCTAACCTACTTTTACAAAAACAATTTTTTGAATGGAAAAAGGTAATGTCTGTGATTTCATGTTAGAAAGCAGTTTCTTTTAAGACAACAGGCTTTATCTATAAATGACTGAGCCCAATTTAAAAATGAGCAAGGAACTTAAATGGACCTTTATTTCTTCAAAGAAGATAAACAGTGGCCCCAAGTATACAAAAAGGTGCTTGGCATCATTAATAATTACAGATATGCAAATGGAAACCAAATGCTATGTCACCTAAACACATGTTTGAATGACTATTAAAAAAGTAAAAAATGAATTTTGATGAAGGTATGAAAAAATTGAAACCTTTGTACATCTTGTGCACTGTTGGTAAACAGGGTTTACTGATAGAAGAGATAGATAACAAATACTTTGGGAAAGTATTTGGCACTGTCTGATAAAACTGAACACCTGCATGCTGTATGACTCAGAATTGCTGCTTCAGGATGATGTAGCCAATAAAAATATATACACATACACATGTACCAAAACGTTAATAGAAATTCTGGTTTCCAGTAACCACAATAAGGACCTTGGAAACGTTGACATCCCATCTTAACAAAAAATAACAAGTTAAACAGACACAAAACCCAACAACTCTTCCTGGATTCTTAGGAAAGAAGACATAAGGCAAACCAGTGTTTCCAAATATTGGAGAGACAGGGGAATACAAAAGATCACAGCTACCAGACCATAGATACACAAGTGGAAAATTGTGGCAGGAAACCACGGTAGAAAAAATACAAACTATAATGAGCAAAGTTCTGGAGGCTCACTGTGGAAAACTCTGGGAGTTAAAAGTTCCAGAGGATTCAGTATTATAGGAACTATACAGTTTTTTAAGATTTAACTCCAGGAGCTCAATTGGGTTTTCATGATAAATATCCAGGAGGGGAGGGCGGGGAGAATATCCTTTGTGCTTCTTTTTTGGAATGGAGCAAGAAAAAGGAACTGTTTGAACTATGTACCTTCTAGACAAGGCCTGCTCTCAAGACCAACTAGCTTTTAACCTGCTGGTATATAATCGGAGACCAGCTGACTTGGGGAAAGAGAAATATTCAACTCCAGTCAACTTTAACCTTCCACAATGGAGAAAGAAAATACCCAATCCATCCAACTGTAGGGATCCTATCCCACCAAAGAAGGGAGAAAAATGCTGAGGAATACATTTGAGTTCACAATCTACAGACACGTTTCATAAAAACTGACATCATAGGACGGTAGAATGTCCTTTACACACACTTCGCCACTTATTACTGATGGCATACTTACAGCAGTTACTTTTACCTGGTACATCGTGTCCACCTACCAAGAAAAAAATCACAACACATACCTAAAAGCAGAAACCATAATTGATATTTACAATAGTATCAATAATATACATTGCAGAGGAAGGAGCCAGAAAAACATTCTCCCCTGCTCTTGGATAGGAAGGATCAATATCGTGAAAATGTCAATATTTTGCAAGGCCATCTACAAATTCAATGTGATACCTATCAATATTCCAACCTCATTCCTCAAGAAAATAGAAGAGGCAATCCAAAAATTCATATTGAACAATAAAAGACTCCAGATAGCAAAAACTCATATGGAACAATAAAAGACCCCAAATAGCAAAAACGATCCTTAACAGAAAGAACAGTGCTGGAGGAATATCAATACCAAATTTCAAACTCTACTACAAAGCCATTGTAATCAAAACAGCTTGGTACTAGCACAAGAACAGACCTCAGGACCAATAGAATAGAATTGAAAGCCCAGAAATGAACCTACAGACATATAGCCATCTAATCTTCGATAAGGGAGCTAAAAAAATAGAATGGAAGAAAGACAGCCTCTTCAGTAAATGGTGCTGGCAAAATTGGTTAATCACTTGTAGAAAACTAAAGCTAGATCCTTTTGTATAACCCTACACCAAAATCAACTCCAAATGGATCAAAGACCTCAGAGTCAAAGCAGACACTCTGAAAACATTACAGGATGGAATAGGAGAAACCCTAGGTCTCCTTGGCACAGGCTGAAATTTTCTTAATAGAGACCCAGAAACACAACAAATCAAAGAAAGGTTGGACAAATGGGAATGCATGAAATTGCAGAGCTTCTGCATGGCAAAGGACATAGCTAGCAAGATCAATAGAAAGCCCACGGATTGGGAGAAGATCTTCACTAGCCATACAGCAGACAAGGGTCTCATATCTAAAATATACCTGGAACTCAAAAAATTAAATCCTCCCAACAACAAATCCTGAAAGAAACAACTGCCCAATAAATAAGTGGGCTAAAGACTTAAAGAGAGACTTCTCTGAAGAGGAAGGAAGGATGGCCAATAGACATATGAAGAAATGCAGTCAAGCAGAAAAGGTCAGATAAGTTGATGTTAGGCAAAATGAACTACAAGATAAGGACTCAAATTTTTTTTCTCTCTTGTGATTTTTTTCTAACATATTGATAAGATGATTTTTTTGTTGCTTTGTATGTCCCTCCCCCATGGTATAACCCCTGTTTTCACTGTATTTGATGTTGGTATAATTTGTGGAGGGGAAGGGAAAAAACAAATTGTTTAAATAGGGTTACAGGTGTACCCATTGCAACAATGAGATGTACAAGACATTAGATTGGAAAAAACGAGCTTTACAACTTTGGCCAGGGGTGGGAGGATGGGGGAAGGGGAGGGCGGAAGGGTTGGGGGGGAAATGGGAAGGGATGGGAAGGTGAAACAAAGGAGGAGGCAACAATGCTTGATAAGAAATGTACTCATTACCTTGCCCATGTAATTGTAACCTCTCTGTATGGCATTTTCACAATAAAAAAAAAAGAACATTCCTCTGTCTTTCTCATGCAAATTGATGTGCTCATTGACCATATATACATATAAGCACAAATAAGAATGACATCATTTTTTTAACTATAAGAAATCAAAACTGAACATTCTGATGAAATAAGCCAGAGGAGAGAAACAAGTTCCTTAAAGAGAAAGAACAAAGGAACAGTTCTCAGAAACCATGCAAACAGATTAGAGTGAAACATTTAATGTGGCGAAAAGAAAGAAAAAACTAGTAATTCTGTGCCCTGTGAAATCCTTCAAAAGTGAAGAAAAACAAAGACTTTCTAAAACAAATAAATATTGAAGTAATTTGTTGTCAGTATCTGCCCTCCAAGAAATGACTAAAGTTCTTTAGAGGGAAAATAATATAGATCAGAAATTCAGGTCTGCATAAAATTTGGATACAAATCAAGTATCAGTAAAACAACTTCTGGTATATCCTATGCTATATGCTGTAGCAAAGATAAATAGGTATGCAACATAGATAAATCTTACAAAGTTTAATGAAAGAAGTAAAACCACAAAAGCATGTGGTATGATTATATTTTCATGAGATTCATCAACAAGAATTAGCTGGGCACTGGTGACTCACACCTGTAATCCTAGCTATTCTGGAGGCTAAGATCTGAGCATCACAGTCCAAAGCCCACAAGGACAGAAAAGTCTATGAGAATCTTTTTTTTATTTGTCGGTCGTGGGGTCTATGAGAATCTTATCCCCAGTTAACCACCAAAAATCCAGAAGTGGAGCTGTCCTAGAGTGCTACCATAGTAGAGTGCTAGCCTTGAGCCTAAAAGTTCAGGAATAGTGCCTAAGCCCTGAGTTCAAGCCCCAGGACACACACACACACACACACACACACACACACACACACACACACACGGAAGAAAATAAGTTTTGGTGTGAAACAAAATAAGGAAGTCGGTATATCATTGAGATGACAAATATTGATAGGAAGGAATGGTTACTTCACCTATGAGCAGAGAAGAATTGTAATGAACAGATATACAAGCAGAACTTCTGACTATTTCACTCCTCTCTCATCTAACCTCATTTTATAGTTAGTTGTTACATCATACTTATACTTTATATACTTTACTTTATGTGTGCTATACTTAACATTTTGAAATGTGTCTTTTAGAAAAGATAAAAACATATTCAGTCTCATTTCCTGTTCTGCAATCTTTTCGTGTTATTCATCTATTCCACTTAGATTATTAATAGCAGTTATGTTTAACTATTTTGACTTTTCTCATCCCCATAGAACTTGTTTGTATATATTAACTTCAAAATAATAATATGGTAAGTAATGTTAGACTTTAAATGGTTTTGCTGATGCTTTTTCTTCTGTCAGTTTGTTAAAATATATATTGTACTATCTTAACAGATTGTGTTGAACCAATATTTTTCTCTTTAAACATTTTCCTATGTAGGTAGAAATACTTCATTTCCTTATATCTAGGTAGCACTTTATTAAGATCAAACCATTGTTGCAAGATGTTAAAAGATGACTCTTGCTGGTAGAATTAAGGAGTAGAACAGCTTTTCAGAAGTGAACTAAGAACCACTGGCAAAAGCAATGCTGGGTTGGTGATGGAGTGTTTCATATGGCTCTGTTTGCTCCTGGTATCATCAGTAGTTGAACTGGTATAACTAGTAAAGTAGTACATTGATTGTGTTTTTAGCAATCCTTCAAGGAATCATGAGTTTTTTTTGTCATAATCTAAGAGTTCTTCTTCCTAAAAATTAGCTCCAATATAGCAAATATCATCCTCATGCTCTATGGAATGAGAGGGTAGTTAATGGTGATTCTCCTTATTCTGTAGATATAGTTTAAAACCCAGTTGTCAGTAGAATATAGGAAAACAATAAAGTGGCATATCCCCTAAGAAAACATCTCATCAAAGTATGTTTCTTTATTGTAGGTCTTTCACACCTTTCTGCTGTTCCCAACAATTGAACGATTATCTGAGTCACCCAATGGTAGGATTGCCACTCCAATATTGTGCTGGCTTCGCTATGTATTCTACGTTCCTGGCTACTTTGTACTTAAACTGTGTCCTGAGATAATCAAGTCCTTGGTGATCAAAATGAGCCTTCATCTCATGAACATGAAGCGTGAATGTTTGCCACAAGAAATATTACAGCCGTTCTGCTTCGGTAAGCAAAAGATGATCAAAAAAATCTTTGAATAATTAGGCAGAAACGTTTGTTTAACGTATTATTTTATGTGTGCAATGCATCTTGATCAGTTTCATCCCTTTCATCATTCTCCCATCCTCCATCTATTTCAACCCCACCCATCAAGTTATATAAGGAAATAGTAGCAGAATAAGCTCAGACAGTTGATAAAATCCCAGCAAGCCATTGCTGAATTTTTTTCCTCCAAAAGTTTAAGACTAGAAATAAAGAAAATTCAAAATTGAATGATAGCTAGCTTTCTTTTAATCTTACGCTTCTTATTTTCCACTCCACTGCAAACATGGAGAGAAGTATTCAGTGGATAGTGTACAGCAGGTCTGAAACCCATACAGAAAACCATTTTGCAAAAACAGCCTGAGAAAATCAGGCCCATTATTTCTCCTTTAAGTAATTTTTGGAGGAGTCTGCATTTTAAAAAATGAATAAATAATCACCATTGTAATATATTTTAAAATTGGGTGCTTTGCTGAATATATTTTCTGAATGTGCAAGGAAGTATTTTTGGAACTTTATTTTTTTTAATGTTTTATTGTGAAAATACCATACAGAGTGGTTACAATTACATGGGCAAGGTAATGAGTACATTTCTTATCAAGCATTGTTGCCTCTTCCTTTGTTTCTCCTTCCCATCCCTTCCCATCCCACCCCCTCCCACCCCCCACCCCCGCCAGGCCAAAGTTGTAAAGTTCTTTTTTTCTTTTTTCTTTTTTTTGCCAGTCATGGGGCCTGAACTCTGGGGCCTGGGCGCTGTCCCTCAGCTCTTCAGCTCAAGGCGAGCACTTTACCACTTGAGCCACAGCACCACTTCTGGCTTTTTCTGCTTATGTGGTGCTGAGGAATCGAACCCAGGGTCTCATGCATGCAAGGCAAGTGCTCTACCACTGAGCCACCTTCCCAGCCCAAAGTTCTTTTTTTCCATGTAAGGACTTATGCATCTCTTGTTGCAATGGGTCCACCTGTATCCCTATTTAAATGGTTTGTTTTTGCCCTTCCCCTCTACAAATTATACCAGCCTCAAATACAATGAAAGCGGGGGTTATACCGTGGGGGAGGGACATACAAAGCAACAAAGAAATCATCTTATAAATATATTAGAAACAATCGCAGGAAAGAAAAAACATTTGAATACTTATCTTGGGGTTCATTTCACCTAACATTAACTTATCTGACCTTTTCTGCTAAGGGACTTACGTTTCTTTGGGCCTGGCTTACTTCACTTAATATAATTTTTTCCATGTCTTTCCTATTCCTAAAAAATGGGGCAATGTCATTCTTTCTGATGGAGGCACAAAATTCCATTGTGTATATATACCACATTTTCTTGATCCATTGATCTACTGAGGGGCATCTGGTTTGGTTCCATATCTTAGCTATGGTAAATAATGCTGCAGTAAACATAGTTGTGCTGGTAGCTTTAGTATGGTCTTGTTTGTGATCATTTGGGTAAATGCCCAAAAGTGGGATTGCTGGGTCATAGGGGAGCTCTATGTGGAGTCTTTTGAGGAACCTCCATACATACTGCTTTCCAAAGTGGCTGAACAAGTTTACATTCCCACCAACAATGCAATAGGGTTCCCTTCTGTCCACATCCCCTCCAGCATCTGTTTTTTAATTAGAGTTCTTGATTATAGCCATTCTAACTGGGGTGAGGTGGTATCTCAATGTTGTTTTGATTTGCATTTCTTTTATGACTAGGGAGGTTGAGCATTTCTTCATATGTCTATTGGCCATCCTTCCTTCCTCTTCAGAGAAGTCTCTCTTTAAGTCTTTAGCCCACTTATTTATTGGGCAGTTGTTTCTTTGAGGACTTGTTGTTGGGGGATTTAATTTTTTGAGTTCCAGGTATATTTTAGATATGAGACCCTTGTCTGCTGTATGGCTAGTGAAGATCTTCTCCCAATCCGTGGGCTTTCTATTGATCTTGCTAGCTATGTCCTTTGCCATGCAGAAGCTCTGCAATTTCATGCATTCCCATTTGTCCAACCTTTCTTTGATTTGTTGTGTTTCTGGGTCTCTATTAAGAAAATTTCAGCCTGTGCCAAGGAGACCTAGGGTTTCTCCTATTCCATCCTGTAATGTTTTCAGAGTGTCTGCTTTGACTCTGAGGTCTTTGATCCATTTGGAGTTGATTTTGGTGCAGGGTATACAAAAGGATCTAGCTTTAGTTTTCTACAAGTGATTAACCAATTTTGCCAGCACCATTTACTGAAGAGGCTGTCTTTCTTCCATTCTATTTTTTTAGCTCCCTTATCGAAGATTAGATGGCTATATGTCTGTAGGTTCATTTCTGGGCTTTCAATTCTATTCTATTGGTCCTGAGGTCTGTTCTTGTGCTAGTACCAAGCTGTTTTGATTACAATGGCTTTGTAGTAGAGTTTGAAATTTGGTATTGATATTCCTCCAGCACTGTTCTTTCTGTTAAGGATCGTTTTTGCTATTCGGGGTCTTTTATTGTTCCATATGAATTTTTGGATTGCCTCTTCTATTTCCTTGAAGAATGAGGTTGGAATATTGATAGGTATTGCATTGAATTTGTAGATAGCCTTGGGAAGTATTGCCATTTTCATGATATTGATCTTTCCAATCCAGGAGCATGGGAGTTTTTGCCACTAAGTTCTATTTTGATTTCCTTTTCCAAGTTTTTAAAGGTTTCATCATAGAAGTACTTTACCTCTTTGGTTAGGTCCTAGGTATTTTATTTTTTGTGGCGCTATTACGAATGGAGTTGCCTTCCTGATTTCAGCCACGCTTTTCTCATTGTTGCTTACAGAAAAGCTATTGATTTTTGAGGGTTAATTTTATACCCTGCTCCTTTGCCAAAGTTTTGAATCATCTTGAGTATTTTGGGAATGGAGTCCGTGGAATTCTTTAAATACAAAATTATGTCATCTGCAAAGAGGGAGAATTTTACTTCATCTTTCCCTATTTGGATCCCTTTTATGTTTGCATCTTGTCTTATTGTTGTAGCTAGGCATTCTAATACTAGATTGAAGAGAAGTG